CTATTAAATAGTTTTCAATCCAAGAGCAATAAATTCATGATGGAACCAATAGTAGCGTTTATCAGTTTAGCAGAAACGCCGCTATCTCATATTAGGTACCTATCTCATAATAGGGGGCTTTCCTCTATATATTTTTTTCCTGTTACTGGAGGAAAATTCTTAGTAGTGCATGCGTCCAAGATAAGATTGGAAATAGTTTCCAGGTTAAAAAGTCGTTAGAGCGTAATGGGATCGTTCTCACCTTTCGTCAACAGCTCCGTTTCCGATTGCACGTCCGTGTCGAAGACGATTACGCCGTTCAAAGTGGCAAAGAATAGCTTGAAGACCTCGCTCGCTTTCGCAAACAGATTCTTCAATTCTTGCATCGCACCGCTCAATAGCGCTCCATATTTTGGACTGTATGATTAACAATACTTCTTTATTCTCTGTACTAGTATATAAACGACGATTTGTTCCATAAAGTGTCATAAAAATGGCTAACAATTATTTATTTATTAATAAAAGAATATCTTTGATGCTATTAATAAAGAAATATGATAATATATATAAAATATAATAAAGGTCGTAGTACAGACTTTTGCATAACGCGTAATAACGCGTAGTGCATAAAAGAATCAATCAATCAGAATTCTTCCATTTTACGGAAAAAAGGAACTTTGATTGGTTGATTCTCTTACGCACTGTGCGTTGTGCAATATGCAAGAGTTTGTGCTGCCGCTTTAATGATTAGATAAAAACAGAACAGTAGTAAGAGATTATAAAAATAAATTAAATAGATTAAATCATATATAAAAATTATAATTATAATAAAAAAAACAATAATAACCGATTCAAGGCAATAATAAAAAAAAGTTTAAAAAACAAAAATATGAGAATAAAATAAAATGATAGTAAAAATAAATATAATAAAAAAGCCAATTATTGATTTTCATTTGTTTAGCGAACGTTCACTCGACTAGACATTTAGTCAGTTTATAATAGGAGAGTTCGTAATACAAACATTCAATTATGTTTCTCTGTGAGAAGTTTAGAATAAGCACGTTATTTATCATTCATAAAATGTATCGATATCTGGCCAATACCTGGCTTTGCAATGCTCAAAAATCGTTCTTGTCGTTTCTGGTAGAATATTGCATAACGATGCTACGTAGGCAGCTTGAACTTTTTCAAGGGCGGAAACGCGTTCCACGCATTTCTTCCAAAAAGAGAGAAGCCCATCACAAATTTGCAATTTGTACTTGATGCTGTCCAAATCATTGAGTCCCGTGTTATCGTCTATTATTATGTCATCTATGGCTTTTATGACCTTTGAACCATCGCAAAAAAACGAGAATATTTCAACGTTAAAACTAAAGCAATAAATATTGTATCTAGTTGAGCTACGAGTACAATTTATAGGTATAGAATTTTATAAAATTACCTGTAATAGAAAGTACTGAGCTTCCGACAAAACTTTTTTAAAAATTTTCTCGTCGAGCAACTCAATTGGACATATGGAAAAACATTTCTCCAGCGTTTGCAACAAGCATTCCGTATCGAGAGTGAGATTTTCATCTTCCAGTAAAGCGTAACGACCGAAGAAAGTGTTAATTAAGGATTGATCAATAACGTTCAAAAGACAATTGTGTAAAAACATAAAAATATCGATTGTACACTATCATTTTGAAAAGCAAATATGATGCTGAAAGAACTCTTTTTTCAATGATATATTTGAATTCTTTAAAATAGAAAGATACATATCATATATTTTCATTTCTTATTATATGTTTAATAGTTGGTATCAGAATAAATCTATCATGCAAAAATCTTTATCATCATATTCATTTCCTATGAAAATCATACAAATTAAAAATAAAAAAATTTATTAACATCCTTTCGTATTTCCAAATCTGAGACAGTTGTTTAAATTCAATTTTCAATTTCTTATATGTATAGTCATATCTCATTCTTCTTTGTATCAAAGGATATTTGCAATTTGGACACTTCGCTGTCGAGATCGAGTGGCTCGAAGAATAAATCGGAAAGATCAGATGACGCATTCCAGTCCATATCTAGAATGTAACAATATATATATATAGCTTTTTCTGTCTTAAAAATTAGCATGCAAAAGTACTCAGAAATTTATAACATTTTACATGAATAATTCTCTTTTAATCTTGCAGAGAGATTGAGATGTATTTTTAATTAGTTCACAAAAAATCAAATACTTAATTTTTAATATAATTCAATAGATCGATTTATGAAAAGAAAGTTTATTCTGGAAACAATTGAAAAATTATTGCTAGTTAAATAAACAATTATATGGTACTTAAATTACAAAGATACACTGTATACAATAGATTTACAACACAATTTACTGAAATTAATTAGTAGAAAGGTACGGCAGATATAAAATATACTGATAACTTAAACTATTCGCTAATAGCGTATTTTCGCAACAGTTTCAAATGGAGATCGATCAACTGGGAGTGTAATCAGACCTTCTAACCCTCCCTCTCCTGTCCGCTATCAATCTTGAATAATAGGTAGAAACGGGGCAAATCGAAAATTTCTTGGCAATGCTCGAGGTTGCCAAAGTTTGCTGATAAGGACGTCAATTAAGGCAGCGCCAAGCTCTAATCGTCGATTTACCAAAAGTTTCCAGCTGTAATTTCTGCGCCATCGCCGGCAAGCGAAATTGTAACCCACTTCTCGAAAGGATTTAACCGATCAAATCGATACGCCAGGTCGATTTTTCGAAATTTCCCCTAAATATTTTAATTGTCATTGTTCCTATTTGATGGATTATAATTTATTTTTCGGATAACACGAAAAAATAATGAGAGTTATAGAAATAAAAGTATCTATTACGGTCAATACTAGGTGTAAAAAAAAGAGAATCAAAATGAGAGAAAATTGTGAAATTAAAATGAATGAAAAGAAGAGAAAGAAGAATGTAGCAATGAAATGTAAAGCCAAGGGAAGATCAGCGTATATTTGCAAAAACTGAAGTTGAAGAAACAAGATATCCTAGGCGAGAGGAAACGAGTTCGAAATTTGTTTTCTTCGTCAACGGGGCAAGGCCAAGCAAATATGAAGAATCCTAGTCAGAGGAAGAGGAAAAGGGGAGGAAGAGGGGAAGAGACAAATAAGGCGGTCGCGGGAGTAAACGAGCGAGAAAAGAAGTCGATCCGCGCCAGGAATTGGAATGATCGAGCCGTTGGACTTGCCATGGCAACTGCGGACAACAAGCTGTCAGATGATGGGCAAAGTTTTGATCAATAATACCGGCAGTGACTGGTTACCTGCCGGCAGTTCTCGAGTTCGATATACGGAGTCGCGCAAACAGTGATTTTGACTCCAAACAGTCCAAACAACAGCACGTGGCTGCCGAGTTGTAGTAAGGACAGAGGGTGGCGAAAGGATTAAGAGAGGGTGGTTCCGACACGTGACGAAGCGGCGAGCAACGTGTACCAGGCTGAGTCACGGAGGATGGATTTGAGCGATGCGATTTTCGATCGAGAGATGCTAATTCTCGTCCCTGAATTACAAACTCGAGACTCGAGACCGCCAGTCGGCTTAGGACTTAGGAGTGGCACTGACTATACTGATTGCGATACCGACGTTTCAATATGACTATTTCTTGAAAGAGTCTGATCTATTAAGTTCGTACGAATATTTTACTACTGCTTGAAATAAAAAAAGACGTGGCGCAATAAAACAAAGATTAACATTTGTTATTAATAAAAAGAATTTTTGCCTCTCTATCGAAAAAGAAATTACAGAAAAGATTCCTGAAAACTTTTAAGCAAAAAGTATTATTTAATAATTGTAGCAACTGAAAAGACTTCCTACATTAAAAACAAAACTAATATTAAATGATAATAAATAGTCTTTTAGCTGTTTTCTCAAAATAATTAAAAAACGATTTGAAAATATATTAGAAAAAGTTGCAGAAAGAAAGGTCTTTCTGTTTCAATTGGCGAAATAGCAAGAAAAAAACTAATATTAAATGATAATAAATAGTCTTTTAGCTGTTTTCTCAAAATAATTAAAAAACAACGATTTGAAAATATATTAGAAAAAGTTGCAGAAAGGAAGGTCTTTCTGTTTCAATTGGCGAAATAGTAAGATGGTAATTAGATCAATTCTCCGAATAGTTCCTCTATTTTCTATTTCTATTTCAATATCATGCAAAAATATATAAGAAAGTAATTATTCGAAAGAACAAATGTTACATGATCAACGCAGAGAATTTTTCTTTTCTTCTTAAAAAAGGTCATCTTCTTTTTCTAAATTAAAAAAATTTTAAAGTTGTTCACACTTTTTTAAATAATGGAATTACCTCAATACTAATAATGAGAAATTCGTCCAGTAAAATTAATTTAAATTTATAATAAATATATAACAAAAAATGTTGCTTCTTTGCACGATAGCTGTCTCTTCAAAATAAGTAATTTCCGTACCGAAAACAAAAATATTTCAGACGTATAAATTGAGGAAATATCACGTATATGTAATATCGCGATGTTACGTCACCGTGGCCTCGAGGGCAACGTATACGAAGTGAGCGAGGAGTTCGACTACCCTGGTAGCGCTGACAGTGATCGTAATAACGGAGGTTAATGGTACCAGTACAACTATAGTGCTCATGTGTTGGCTTCTGTTCAAGAAACACGAAGGGAAGGAAAGAGAAAGCGAGAAAGAAAGAGTCAATACACCTGTACCCGATAATCGTGTTGGTGAACCGGGCTTGGACTTGGTATACACCGAAGGTTGGTGGAGGGCAATGGATGAGGGTAGTCAGTCAGTCGGCGCCCGGTCGTGGCGTCGACAACATTCCTCGGTGGACTCTTTGCTCGAGGACTGAAGAAACTTAAATATTATATTCATAAAAAAGATCCTTTTCCTTAACTCGACCTATGCTCGTCGAGGGGTTGCTGCCTCATCAATGAACGAATGAATAAATAAGCTCTATCAGAGGAGTTCTGAGGAAATCGTCGAGAAGACGCATCGACAATGCAAGGACAATTATCCGGGGATGTCTAGCGGTAGAAAAGCGACGCGACCCGTCAGGCAGCTGTCGTTACAGCAACCCGTGCCGCGTCGACAACACATCAGACGACAGAGATCGGCGGAGGACGATTGCAGCAAGTCTTTGCAGATCTACGCAAATCCGATTGCGCGTGGAAGATTAGGGGCGAATGCGACGGAGAAGCCCAAGGTGCGGCAGTTGAGAAAACTTACTCCTTAATCGCTGTTTCTTTCATTTTTTTTTTTCAGATATATAGACCTTGTATTTTTATTCAATCGAGAACTAGGTGACTGTATACAGTCATATTATATTGTACAATTGGCAGGTGCGAGTTGCTTGGGGCGATGATCGTCACGGCTGCGATAATCTGGCCCAGGTGGAGGTGGTGGCTCGGCAGATCCCGAGTCGATCTAGACCGACTACAGGTCGATCTGGAAGGGCTTATGCTACCACGGAGAAGGCGTCGATTCTTTACTCGCGGCAGGAGCTTGCCGAGAGATTGCGACTCGCGTGGAAGCACCGGGAGCAGAACAAAGCAAACATTGATATTTTCCTGGCACATGGCGTGGCAGTGGAGGAACGCTGCGATTCCCAACTATCGATATCTATTCCGTCGTCCCCTCTTTCCAGGAAGGAGCCTAACAGTATTCGGGATGAAGGAAAGAGTCAGCAGAATCTGGCAGTGCCGAGCAACTTGGGAGATCGAGGGAAGGAAACGCGTGAAGATCATGATAAGGGAGATGAAAGATTATGCGAGACGAAGCTGGAGTCTGCGTCTCGATTAATTGAGAATGATTTGTTAACGAAAAGAGATGAGAAAATAGCGGAAAGCGTGGAAAAGGAAGGAAGAGATAACGAGGTATACATTTATCCACTAAGAGAAAATGTACTTAATTTGAATAAATATTTATTTGAAAAATAACTGAATATTTATCTAAAATGTGGAAATATACTCGTATATATTCACATTTGGTACAAAAACCATTTATTTAACAATCTTTTTTTATTGAAAAAATTTATTTATTGTAGATAAATGTTAAGTCAGTACTACTGAAAAAATATTATTAAAATTTAGTAAATTTTTTTCTCAAGGGTAAATAATTTTTTTTATATAAACGAATAATTTTTTCTCATGTTGATGAATAATTTGACACTATTTAACATTTTCCAATGTCATTGGCTGCGTACAGCAGAAAAAGTAGTTTTGCAACTCTTCGAAAATTCTTTAATATGATTGGTCTTATTCTTAGTTTCTTACAGAATCTAAAAGTATAAATCCGTCATATAAAGAATCTTACAATAGTTGCAAGCTGTTTTTTCTGCTGACCGCAGCCATAATCTGTCATAAAAAAAATAATTGGATTACTAATTTTTGTTAGAAACCGGATTTGCTCGATAATGTGGACATCGAAGAGAAGAAAAAGAAGACACGTATAAATATTGACTGCACGAATCTTCATCTTTCAACGACCGATCAGTCGCAACCATCGACCGCTTTTTCATTATTAAAAACGGAAAATGCGGATCCGGCAAAGATCAACAGCGATTTCTCGTTGGCAAAGCAAAAACGCGCAAGTTTCCACAGCGGTACCAATCGCGCCTTTCTCGTGCCGATGGTGGAGAAGTCTCCGAAAGGGCCGGAAGCGAAGAGTAAGCTCGCACCGGCCAAATCGATCGAGATCAGATGCGCTTCGGCTGATAAGACCACGATGAGATCGCCGATCGACAAGAATGTCATTCTCACGAGAAGCTCGTCCACGGCGAGCCTGGAAAAAGCAAAAAGGACGAATTCCGCACCGCCGCAGAGGCGAAATCTCGCATCCGCAGCACGTGTGCAGGTGAACATCGTGATCGACGCACCAAGTCTCGCCGATGAAGCTACAGATAAGTTGATCGTTTGTGAAAAAATGCAGGATGGAAAAGACACCGTGGAAAAGTACGAGGACTGTGCGATGAAGGTAAGTGATTTTCCGAGATTCTAAGAATCTCGTGTGAATCCCCGGGTCTTTCAGATTCCAGAAAACAGTATCGGATTCGCACACTTCGCGCGTCATAAATCAAAGATCTCTCGATAATAAAATAATTAAATAAATAATCGATATAAAAGTTTCAAAAACCGAATCGGATAAGAAGATAGGGATCAGTATGAACTTATTCCTTAGATATCGCGAGGGGAGCGATCGATAAGATCGGCGCCTCTGAAGAGGCGATCGAGAAGCGCGAAGAGGCGTTTTCTTGCCTCGTCAGGCCCGGGCAAGGACGAGGATCGCGGTGGACGAGGGAAGGCTTTCATGGATCCCAAAACGAGCGACGTGGTTACGATGGTGTCGCTGGTTAGTTCGGCTGACAGCGACAGCGACGTGGAGAATTCGCCGGGCGATGATAAGCTTATCAATGAGTTGCGCAGCAAACTACCCACCACGCCTATCATCAAGACATCCATCAATCCCAACCCCACGACGGCGAGGAAGCCTATCAAGTCAGGTAAAATGTTTCTATTTTATTTCTATATAAATAAAAATATTTTATATGTAAAAATTATACAAGTTCCATAAAAAATTATTCACGGATCTAAGATTTTCATTAACATTTGATTATTAATATCTTATAGAGATGCTTATTATAATATTAAATTATTTGTCAATTTGATATGTGGTATTACTACTCTGGTTCTATTCATGATTGTGTTTCAAGATCAAAAAAAATTTCGGCTGCATATAAATTCACGCAGAAATATTTAAGCACTAAGATCTGTTTCGACTGAAAAATAAGATTTCTTTTATTTAATTCGATTTATTTTCATCGGTCTATTTCAAATTAAAATTGTTTAGTAAATAAATATAATAATGACCTTAGTGCTATTCTTAGAAATACTTTCTTCTCTATACCGCTGTTAATCGCGGATAAAATAATTTTTATGGCTTGTCGCGTAAATTAGTATCGCGGCTAGATAACGTTCGATAACGTATACGCGTGCGGTAACGAGTGAGGCGAAGAGGCGTAGAACTATAATTGAACTGACTAATTAAGAGAGACACGAGACACGCGAACCGCATAGCCGGAATAATTCTGGTCGGTCTATACAACACTTGCATTCACTTTGCAATCAGCAAAATTCTTAATTTTATGATTATTAAAATCGCTTAATTCTCTTTACTAGTTTGCTTTACTTTACGTAAATATTTTTTAGCCTCTCTCTCTCTTCTACTATTATTTAGGAAATTAATTAAATCTTTTAAAAATATATCACATTTATTACTGTATGACAAAAAAGAAGAGAAAAGAAAGTACATAAAAATAGTTTTTATAACTTGCGTATTACATAAAAAACTAAAATAAAACAAAAATATATATATATAATTCTTTATGTATTATATATTAAATTTGTAATTTTTAAAATCAATTTTATCAAAAATAAAATAGATATAAGAAAAATGTTATTCCGTATTTTCTATTTATCTTTATATATAAACCAGATTGTCGATTCTACTAATAATGGACCCCACCCAGTACGGGTCGTACAATTTATGCATCGCGGAGACATCATGATTGATAGTGTCAGATTAATAGGCCTGTCGGGTACGATCAAATTTAGGCTTTTTACAAATATCGTGTAAGTCGAGTCCTATACCGAGTAACCCGGTTTTATCATTGTCCAGAGACTAAGCAAAACGATATCCATCATCGATTTACTTTCATGGTAAACCGAATGGCATTCGTATATCAAAGATTCTTCCTCATTCCAGCCTTTCGCTCTAAAAAACTCGACAAGATTATTCGCTAAAAATTTCAACTCGTAAGGCGATAGACTAAATCATTGGATAGTTTCCTTTCAGAGGGACTCGTTCGACGAGGAGCCGACGAAGGAGGAAAAGCGAATCATTAGTAACGTTCAACTTCCTCGTTTCGGTCTCGCCGTTAACATCACTCACGGAAATAACAGTGAGGACGTGGAGGAACAGGACAGCAAGACTGTCATCGATACTGTCATTGCAATACCGACGCTGGCCGTCGAACCTGTGCTAATTCAACAGGATACCGAGAGGATGGTACCGGAGGCACCGTTGACTGATCGCGAGAAGAGATGCCTGGCAGTGCCGATCGGCGATCTGCACGACAAGAAACGGAAACTGCTGCGAACACGCAGCACACCTAGCCGCCCGATGTGAGTAAGATCTTATGCCTTATAACGCCTTATGTTATACAGTAGAGTCTAATACATCCTCAAGTCGCAAAAAATTAATCATATGACTTAAAAATGTATTAGACGAACAGTCTCTGCAAAGAAAATTAAATTTGGAAGTATATTTAATATATTTACACTTCAAAAATAAACTATATACATATGAAAGTTGTGTGAATAAGATTATATTTTTGTTTAATAACACATTTTAATTTTATTTGTAATTATTTTTATTTTTAAAAATGAAAATTTAAAAAATTATAAAAAAATTTACATTTTTCTTTCATAAGTATTTTAAATATTCAAAATAATTTATGCAAAGTTTCATTGCGATTTACCAATTAGTTATAAAGATATAAAACAAATAAATATTTTGTTTATTTACTGGATTGGTTCATGCATTGCAATGTAACTCTACGTAAATAATCTTAAATACACAATGTACATATATTTAAAAAATTGAGATTTTTATAATTTATTTTATAATACATTTCCATATATTTTTTTATTAGAGCACACACTAAAAAAATACTACTATTTATTAAAGGAATTTATGATCCAGATGGTAAACCGTCACCAAATTTGTCGTATTATTTTTAAACGTGATTTAGAATAATCTGTAATTTTTTCATAATTTTGTTATCGTTTTAAAAATATGTATAAATCATCCTTAATGGACTTTTTACAATAAGTCATTATCTAAGCTTTAAATTTTTAGCTATAAGAAATTGATCAATCGTAATCGATTATTCTCCTTACATTCGACTGTGATTAGTTAATTTCTTATAATTTAAGACTTAAAACTTAGGTAATGACTTAATGTAGAAAGCCCATAAATCTTAAGCCGTAAGAAATTAACCAATCACAGTTGAATATAAGAAGAATAATCGATTATAATTGATCAATTAATTACAGCTTAAGACTTGAAGCTTAAATAATGACTCATTGTAAAAAGTCTATCAATTCAATTGTGATTGGTCAACTGCTTACAATCAATTTCTTAAAAAAATTAAGTACAGTTTAGAAAGTAATTTGTTGGACCACATAAATGATTATATAGAAAATTGACATATGATGAACAGTGTTGCAAAAAATTTTGACATTCTAACCAAATTGTGCATCCTATATCATTTTGATAATTGAACAAAATTATTTTCAGATTTGTATCTAGCTAAATTTTTATATATATACTTCAGAAAAACTGTTCTTTCCATGTCATGATGTGATAAATATGTAACATTACGATCAACGATAGCATTGCCGGTGTTTCGAATTCACGATATATTTCGCTATTCTAAGTCCGTCAATCATTACTTAACTTAAGGTTCGAATAACACAAAGATTTTATTATTTTAGGAATTATCCCTCTTAGGAATGAAAGCATTACGTAAAATTACAGAAATAATGAAAGTTCGTGAAAGGATAGCAAAAGCAAACAGCCGTGCAAAGAAATTGCTAAATGAAACCCGTTGATTTGCAGTAATCGAGCTATCTTCGTATCTTAATTTAAATATAAGGCGTAGAGGGAGAGAGGAAGGATAAAAAGTTCGATTGGCCTACGATTTATGATATTGACGTCAAAAAAATAAAGTGGGGCGTTGTAACGATGTTAAAGGAAGCAAAGGAGAGGAGGAGAAGGAGGTAGAGAAGGAGGAAGGAGTTGGTTGGTAACAGACTGGTACGACCGTGAATGTTCGCATCCCGCGGATCATGGTACGTCCTTCGATTGGTACCTTCGTCAAACTTCGATCATATTCGATGTCATCCGCGATATGTGTGTATTGCTTGTTCACAGTTTAGAGAAAATGCTCAGAAACTAATTTTTATTCCTTAATTATCCGTCAAATATTAAATATAATGTATTTAAATAATATACAAATGCTTATAAAGTACTTATAAAATGTTATCACCACTGTATTTAGTTTTGGCACCCTAGTAACAGCCAGGTCTGTAACAGTCAACAAATTATAATTCCATTAGAAAATTATTTTTATTTCACTGTTTATCTTTTTATTACATTTTATGCTAGCTTTTCAATGTAGATTAACTTTATATATTACCTGTCTATAGTAACAGTAAAAAATCATCTATATTTCAAGGCTGTTCATAAATTGTATGTCCGACAATAACAATACTGTATTCGGTAATGGCCCAGGTTGCGGGCTAAGTACTGTAAACGTTTGTCTGTCGACATCTACATTAATCACACAGACGAATCCGGCTACGTTAGTTTGTACAACGTCATCTTTGGGAGAATCAACGAACGAAACGGACAGCAAATGATGCAGCAAATTGGGTCCCGGTTTAACGGCCACCAGTTTCGTCAAGTTGTCCTTCAGCTTGCTGTTCGATAGCACGCAAGATGCTGATGAACTAGACGCTTCGATTTTGTACAATTTCACTTCGTTCCACTTCACCTCGAAACTATTTGGATACAACGGTGTCCAAGAAGAACCATAAAAATATTCTCTAATACTTTGATCTCTTTTTCTCTGATCTTTAATTCTCTGTGCACAGGTTTCCAGATCACTTCCTGTAGTTTTCGGCAGATAGAATACTTTCACAAAATGCGGCATATCTTCCACTAATTTGTTATAGAGTTTTCGATCCATTACAAGAATCACATCCACCTCGAATACTTGTGCGGCGTACATAAGTAAATTGTAATTTTTTTCGATCAAATTATAATTATTTATTATTTTGAAACAAGTATTTATAACAACCCCCGACGCTTTGACCTTCTTATTGTTTTGTAATGTATCCGAGCAGACCTCTGCTAAACGTGTTATAAGTGACACGTACAGTGCTAAATTGTCCTCTAGATTTTTATATCCAAAATGAAGGACCAGCGGATCTTGCTGGCTAAAACCTTCCATTACGTTATATGGTCGTTCTATCAGCAAAGTACCTACAGTACCAGGAATCGCTATATGTCCTTGATTAATGTCGAGATCAACAAAAATTGGTCTTCTATCGATTCTAACGGCATAGTTCAACAGTATTCTACAAAGTGTAGATTTTCCCACGTTGCGAGATCCCACGATCATCGTTACTGGACCTCTAGTATCATCCTTTTCCGCTGTCTCTCTCATTTGTTCCAACGCTGCATGGCAATTCAAGTACAGACACATAGGCGTATTCCATTCTATTAAAAAGTGGACGCTCGATTTCGCAACTAATTCAATAATACAACCTTGCCAAGTGTAAACTGCGAATGTATAGTGCATATAAGCGGTAAACTCATACTTTTTTCCGTTTATCAATTCTGTCCCAAAAATTTCTGCCAGGCCAGACTTTAACTCTAATGTAAATTTTTCTTTCTTCTTCTTGTTAACTCTGAATTTCAATTCGCAATTCGGATCCAACGTGATCACAGTAATCACACACTTCTTATTAACCATTTCTTAATTATTTTAGATTGATTATACAGATAAAATTAGGTAAAATTTGTTAGTTCGAGAGACGTCGAGTTGCGTTTGTTCTAATTCTTTAACATTTCGCAATGACACACGTTTGGATTCGGGCACGCCGCGCCTGCTCGGCTATAATAACAATAGGTCTGTTTTCTGTGGCTGAATTAGTGTACCACACTTTTGGAACTTAAAGTGAGATAGATATACGTTCGACATTTGTTTAAAGCGAGAAAGAGAGTTTTAGAACAGTCTAGTACAGGAACAGAAAACAGACCAATAGAGATATGTCCGTCCTTGGAGTCGATTGTGTATCTCGAAATAAAGTGAAAATTACAAAAGCGAGCAAATTTACTAGAATATTCACAATTTAATTGATCGATATCTAGTGAATTTGCTCACTTTCGTAATTTTTACTTTATTTCAAGATACCTAATCTAGAGTCCCATATGTGAGAGAAGCGACATTCATCCCCACTATTATGAGTATCATGAACTCTACTATGAGAATCATGAACCCCGTCAGGATGAGGTTAAGCACAAAAACATTAATACATTAAAGTGTATTGTGTATGTACCAATTCAGCTGTAGACAGCTGTAGAAAGGAAACATATGATAGCTCTCCACTATGGGCACAATATGGCTGCTTTAATTAGGTAGGGGTATCACCAATCAAAAATCGCGACGCCGATGTCGCTTCTCTTATATACAGGACTCTAATGGCTGTTCTACAATGTGCTTTTTGTTTTCTGTTTCTTGCTGTTTGTCTCTTGCCTTCTTGATCAAAAAGACAAGAGACAAACAGAGACAAACAGCAAGAAACAGGAAACAAGAAGCACATTGTAGAACAGCCGTAAGCGAGACAGTGAGTTGAACACATGCTCGGACCCAAATGTACATCACTGCTCGCAAGCTGTGTTCAGCAAAGAAATCAGATTTGCAACTATTGTAAATTTCTTTGATATGATTAGTTTTGCCGTTAGTTCTTCATTGGATCTAAATGTATAAACCAATCATATTAAAGAAATTTATACCAGTTGCAAAACTGCTTTCTCTGCTGAATGCAGCTAATATTTAATTTTGTGCAAAACGATTATTAACGAAATTTTGTAAATATCAAAACGGTAAATAATCAAAACAATAATAAGGCAGTATAAATCTATTCTTTGTGGCTGAACTAGGGATGGGGGATATAGAGATATTTAAAAAATTGATATTTTTTGGATTTTTTTTCGATATTTTACATACTCCTACCATAATTCCCTTCAATGTTCAATAAGCGCGTTGGAGTATAAAGTATAGCAGCTATGGTAAAAGCGAGTTGGAGCATATTGGAGCATATAATGCGAACAAACCTAATATTTCTGCTCATGATACGTTGTGATATATAAATATCGATATTTTGTTCTGTATCGCTTATCTCTAGGCTGAACTCAGAAACTGATACTAAACTTTGCAATTTATGAATAATATTATACAAAGCGTAATGACGACCAAGCGCAGTTAATTAGGCACAATTACAAATAAAATCCATTTAATAATTAATAAAAACAAAGTCAACAAACGTTTCGGCTCTTCTTTGGGGGCCATCTTTAGTATCCAAATTAAATATACTAGTTTACTTCAATTAATATCTCGACCTTTCAGTGAAAGACACAAGTGGAAGATACATTCAATCCAAATTGAATGCGCATCGATTACAGTGGTGTTAGGTACATGGCCAAGTGACTGAGTCCATGAATTAATTTTATAAAAATAACTTGTTCACACGGCGTTCAACAAATAAAAAAGTTATACAATTGGATTGTGAGCTTAACAATAGATAAGAGTTGAGAAATCCACACGTAACAGATTAGACATGTAGATAAAATTATATTTATTATTTAAAATTAATTGATTCAGTATTATAGTATTAGGGCTATTCGAGCCACGCTAGATGTCATATGCGAACTTTATGTACAAAACAGTAAATATAAGTCAACGATTACAATTCAAACAGTTCGATCTTTAATGTGGTCATCTTCAGTGATACATATTAACAAAGAAATTAAAACCTGAACTGATTAAATTGAATATTACATTAAAAATAGCCGAGTGCACAATTATTCCTCTTTGTACATAAACTCTAGCGCGGTTTGAAAATAGTTCTAATATTATAATATTAAATCTAAATTCTCTTTAGAGCCTTACATCTAGTTAGGTACTTTAATTATAAAACTAATTGTAAGAAAAATTTTAAACGATGTAGTATCTACTGTATAAGTTTGTTTACTTAAGATTGATTACACAAAAATTAAAACAGTAGTGTATTAAAACAGTGATGTGTTCAGTACTTAATGTGTTGATGTTGTCACTTCTAAGTTACTATGGTAAAATTTGTTATCGATCCGGTTCTCCGCGTAAAAAACAGTCAAGGCATTATTTACAATTTATTAAATATAGATAAATATACGTGGTGTAAAAATTGCAATTTATAAAATAGATATGCACTCTCCTACAATTTTATATCTTATGAATCCCTCTTCCCCTCTCTCTCACTCTATTTCTTCGTTTCTTATTTGCGTTATCAAAATATTTCCGTAATTCTTAAATGTATGTAAATAAAAGCCCTGGTTGGTTGAATTCTGTCAAAAAATGAAATGGGCAGAAGGGGACTCCGACACGCGGAGAATGCCCCATATATATTTTTAATATTATATAAATGGATATAATTAACAGTCAACACGTTAAGGTCAATCTGTCAAAAGTACGCTCGATTAAAAATATGATTCGAAATGCATAGGCTTGTTAATTTAATAACCTTACGATTTTGTAATCCTACTATGGTTATACGAAAAAGGGGAAGATAAAAGAAAGAAAATATGTTTTCGATGTTTGCAGAGTAGCAGAGCGGACGAATAATGTACTGATGGAGGCAAAAGAGCAGAGGATATCTCTCGCGATATCGCGAGTCGATCTCGTCGCGATTCCAACTCCGTCGATCGACGCACCGCTTTCGAAAGTAATAAAAATTACGCCAAATAAAATTAAAGCAAATTTTATACGCTATAACCACAGACTTCTATGAGTAGATTGTCGATTTCGCCTCTATGTTTAAAGACAGCGCTAGACAGCGCCATATTTATGTTCACTCACTCTCACACGTATAAATTACACATTACACGAATAATAACGTAGTGGTTTCACATAAATTCATGCAATACTCACAAACAGGACGTATACATACGCGTATGTGAACTAAAACAAGGACAGTTTCATTTCTTTTTATCATATTGAGTCAGCAGCTAATTATAGAAGTCTGTGAATATAACATATCGTAGAATAATTTTATGTCATATTTTTGAATAATATTATTACTATTACTGCCATTACTATTATCATTATTATTATTATAATGCTGCGTGCTTTTGTTTTTAATGTGATATATTTTCGGCGTAAATACAGGTCGAGCAATTTCCTAAAGAGACGATATCGGCAAAAGAGACGCCACCAGAGGTGATACTGCCGTCGGAGCCACATTTTCAAACGACCAAGGAAAAGGAATGCTGGCATCTCTACAGGCGGATGTGTGATAAGGGTGTGTGCGTGTCCTTCGACACAGTTCTAAGGTAATGGATAATCGAGAAAAATCCAATTAATAAAAAAAATCTAATCAATAAATCTAATTTAACCCTTTGGTCTACAACCACGAGTGAGACTCGTGGTAAGGAATTTGGTAAGACTCGTGGTAAGGAGTCTGACTCGTGCTTATTGTTTATGGACCAAATTCCTTACCACGAGTCTCACTCGTGGTTGTAAGCCAAAGGGTTAATAAGGTTTAAAAAAAAACATTAGAATAATTAGCAAGCGTATAATATACTCTCTAAAACTTTTAGAGTGAATTTCACTCTAAAGGGTGAAATCTCACTCTTAGACCCAGTTCCACAACTCACGGTTAACTCTTAACCGAGGTTCAATTTGTTTCTCATCTCTTTCCAATTCTATAATTGGAAAGAGACAATGAATAAATTGAACCTCGGTTAAGAGTTAACCGTGAGTTGTGGAACTGGGCCTTAAAGACTGAAAATTGAGCCAATCTTTTTCAAGATCTCAATTTGCACTCTTTAGAGTGAGAGTCCACTTCAAAGAACTTAGAAAATATATGGCATTGTTCATGAAACAATTTATCTCGAGATATATTTAAGAACTTTAGAAGAACATCTTCATAAAATAAAACGATACGATTTTTAGGTCGGTATACAATAAGATCGTAAACCGCAAGAAATTGACCAATCATACACATCACATTCGACTGTGATTGATCATGAATTTCTCATGGCTTATTTACGATTTACGATCCTATTATATAGAATCAGCTTTAGAGAGAGAAAATAGAATTCATTTATACTTAATGCTTGCAATTTGTACATACATATGCGTGACTAGAAAAATGTATATTTCAGAGGCATGCTAACACCGACGGAGTATCGACTGCGACAGAAGGAATGTTCACAGGATTTGCAATGAGATGTTGAATTGTTTTTTTATTGACGTTTGTAGATATCTTTTTTAATTGACCGATCATCGTTTTTTTTGAAATCGAATTGATGGTTCGGAAACGATATGCGACGAAACATATGTACATATATGTGATTTATATATGCAATTTATTACAATTAATAAATTACATATATCTCTATCATGTATATTATATAATTCGCATATATGATTTATTTTTTAATTATTAACATTTATTATTTTTTTAATTGTTAACGTTATTAGTTTTTAATTGTTAACATTTTATTTGTTTATGTAATTTATATATATATATATATATAGAATAAGGTACGAAAGATTACGAGATAGCCGTAAATTATTAAATATTATTATCAAGACCGAAATAAATAATGCGTTGATAATAATAATTAATAATAACAATAAATTAGGCACACACGGTAAAGTTATAGGCACAAAACCGAATTACCTGATATTAGAATGGTTCCTATTAAGCCTTAAATAAAATCCTACTGCCTTTGTCTCGATCCTTTTATATTCCCGAATTATTTTTGAATTATTTTTTAAATCATTTCCGATATATATATATAATATCCGATTTGATATCGGAACATTTTAACGCATTTTCAAGTACAGTAATATTTTATAGTATAGAGCCACAAAATCTGTTCTTTTAATTGTACTGCGTCACACTTTTCGCACCAAGAATAATATATAGATATGCAGTATAGCCATTAAAGAGAGAAGAAAAAAAGAGATAAAAAGTGCAATTAAAGAGAACAGATCCTTTTCTTATTCTTTTCTACAGAGTTGAGAATATTTTTCTTCGTATGTGTAAATACGTATGTATATTCATGTATCCATACGTTCAAAAAATATACTATATGTCCAAACGCAAGTTATTAACTTAAATCATTGAACCTGTCGACATTGAGAATTTTGAACATCGGCTCGACTGTAGTTAGATATATTTAAATGAATTTAAATATCTAAATAAGTTAGTATAATAAGTTGGATATTTAAATAAAGCCGGCGGCACACGATGCTTGTTTTTCTGCTGGATTGCTAGGATAACTGTCTCTATTATAACGTCTTTTAGCCAATTTGCCTATTACCGAATTAATTAATTATTAAATATTGTAGCTTTGATTTTATCTGCTTGTCAATCAATATCGCTTTTTTAACTATTTCTTTTTCTTATAATGTTTCTTTAATCTAAAAAATGTTAATACTTTATAATGTTTTTGATAAAAATAAAAAACATATTTTTGTCCCTATTAGTGAATCCTCCAAGCGGCGGTGATACACTATTTCTTAGGGGCCTATTATTGTCCCCAATTTATGTGCCTATCCGCGTTTGACTCATTTTAATATATAGTTACTGAAACAGGTAATAAATTGAAGCTATTTGTTTAAGTTAATATTACATAAATCATTATTTCAATTATATGTACTTATTAATTCAACGTACATTCATAACACAACGTTCTCAGCTCCAATACGGGATACACTAATAGGGACAAGCTTGCGGTACGTATTACTGGATTCACATAAATTTCTCATATCTTTCGAAAAATGTTTAAAATACTTTAATAGTTAAAAATAAAATATTTTTGGTATCGTTAAAAAATAAAATATTTTTTCTTATTTATTCGTGCTAGTTTTCTTTATGGCTTATTGAAATACAAAAGAACACTAATAGAGACAGGCATAGTAATAGGGATAGTTATTCTAGATGGATTAGAATCTTGTCACCGTATTTCGTATTTGACAGTATCAGCATCTCAGGTAATACAGCAGGAAAATAAGCATCGCGTACCGCCGGCTTAAGTTAGTAGTCGCTTATGCAACACTGACGTTATCAATGACCGATGCTTACCAGCCAAAGCGAATTTAAGTTTCCTTCTTCTTCCGTTTCTCTTCCTTCGTTTCCCTCGTGTTTTCTCGTTATCTCTTCTAAGACATAAATAAGACAATCGCGAAGTCTGTCCGTAAAATTGCTGTCCTTCGAACCGCGACACGTTATTGCGAATTTAAAAACTAAGGATGCGTTCCGAGTTACGCATGAAGCGCATGATGTATCGTTTTATTCTTTATTATTTGAGGAACAACAAGAAAAAATGATGCATTATACGCTTCATGCGTAACTCGTAACGCACTTTATATAGCAGCGGAGGGGAAGCGCACGTGTCCGTGAAATCAGAGCCGTGAAGTTAGCGCGAAAATTGGGATGCGATCGATCGACAATTAATCGAGCAGCAGAAGAAGAAAGGATTGACCTAAAAGCCTATTCTACAATGTGCTCTTTGTTTCCTGTTTCTTATTTTTTTACCTTTTGCTTTTTTCTCTTTTGCAACCGTTTTATCTCGACAATTGTATTTCTTGCTATGTAATTCTTGTTTCTATCGTTAATTTTTACCTCGGGCGATATAAAACAAAAAACCGGATAAGAGGCAAAAAGACCAGATGTAAAAAATAGTAAAAGACAAGAAATAGAAAACAAAAAGCACATTGTAAAACAGGCTAAAGTCTCGTGAAGATAACCTTTTTTTTTTCTTAAAGATAAACCCTATAAATGAGGCAACCTTAAGTCTTTGCTTCTTTAGAAGGGTCAACAAAGATCATTTTATTCATCAACTATGAATAGACAACGTCTAGAGATAAAAATAATCTTAAGATGAAAATAATCTTCGTAGAATAAGCGATCTTCATTAAGACTGTCTTAAGCGTCGCCTTGATTGGATTATGAATAGCATCTTTTGTATTTACTCTTTTATATCCTTCCTTATCTCTCTTTAAAGTCTAATTATATAGCCATTTTATCTCAAGTGAAAAAAGTATAATCTTCTATGTGTTATATTTGCAACAAACTGGTCTAATTAATTATTAAAACAAAATAATATAATTATTAGACGTTTACATTAAATTATTAAAAGATACAAGTAGATTGGAGAGAAAAAAGATGAAAGTAAGAAATTTAACTGTAAAGAACAAATTTATATAATTTTCACACGTGACCCATTCTGAATGACATAATATTTCGGAAAAAGTACACTTAATTTATAGAATAACATTTTTCAGATATACTTTCAAAGTAATCAGTATAACCAAGTATTCCCGTTGAAATTCGCTTACTTTAGGAACACCCTATAGCTTGAGGTATACAACTGCAAAGGTGAAGGAAAAGGGGGAAAGAACAACGATAACAGGTGCAAATGGTGCACTTTAAAAGAACGGACAGCTGATTCCAGCATTTCTAGCCGATTGTCAGCTCGAATCTCATCGAGGAAGGTTCGGCGCTATATCGCTGTTTATCACATGGCTGTGGGAGATGAGATCTTTATTCATTTCCTTGTCATGACAACGGATGCTGAGCAAGGATGTCGAGAAAGCACGGGAGCACGACTAAAGTCGATTATAAGGCGCGACTCGAGTACAAACTATATCTGGTGCGTATTTCACGAATTAAGGTTATGATTCGTGGCCCAAGTCAAATCATAATAATTAATTAACTAGTCAGTGTCAGGCTACATCTGGATCCTTTATCGTATCTTTATTAACATCTAAACAAATAAATTATGTATATGCAGACGATAAAATAAAATAGACAATTTATAAATTAGGTTTATGTAGATTGAGGTTAAAATGACAAAGAGATTTCAAACTGTTGATTAATGACTAATCACTAATTAATTACACTTATAACTAATTAAAATTATTTAATTAAATAAACAAAGAACTATAAGAGTCAAAAGCAGTTGATAGAGCATAGGAAGCCTTTCTTGTGCCAGTTTAATTTAATTTTATTTTATTTTATACTTTATGTAGAAGAGTCTTGATTATATTGGTTATATTTTTAAAATTATTTAAATTAATTATTTATAATGATTAATTACATCAAATAATGCCAGTTACTTTATAGTTGTCTTTGTATAAGTTAATAATATTAAACATGTTATTAAATATAATGGATAATAAATTGGCAATTTAATATATTCTGTGCGTTTGCAATTATTGTCTATTTTGTACGACAGGCCAGGGAAAACCCGGAGCCAGTGTTCGATGTATCGGAATGTGCCTTGAAGAATGTGCCATCGGGCATCTATTCACTTTGCAAAGTGTTCCGAAAAAAGATCTTGCTAATGTATGATAATAAACTGAGCTCACTCTCGGGTGGAGGTGCCTTATGTGACTTGTCATTGTTGACTGTCTTAGACATTCATGGAAACGAGTTTACCGCATTACCTTCTGATATTAAGCATCTCTCATCCCTTAAGGTTGGTTTATCAGATTGTTCAGAAAATGATTTATTTATTTCCCCTACGAGAATTGTTATAAAAGATGAAATTGTTATATAAAGATGAAGATAGAAAACTAAAATTTTCCTAGCAATATAAAATCTTAATGTATTATTAGACACAAGAAACAAAATATGAAAAATTTCTTTAACAAAGGAAGTGAAGCTAATTCTGAATTCAATTATTTAAATACTGAAACAATATGAGCTGTTAAAAGCCAGATTATCATTTCTTTATCATTTTTAAAATAATATTCCACACTTTTCTCTCCCTCCCCCTCTCTCTTTCTCTGTTCCTTTAGCATATAAATAATTTTTGTTAAAGTCATATGTGTATATTACAACTTTTACTAGATATAGCATCGACAATATTAAAATATTATGGTTTCTATTTTCTTCAGGAGCTTCATTTGCAAGACAACAACATCCGCAAACTGCCCAACGAAATAGTGTACTTGAATAAGTTAATAATTTTGAATGTCTCGAGGAATAACCTGAAGCAGCTGCCTGATGGCATCGGACAGCTGCAACAGCTGAACATTCTTGATATTAGTCACAACAAATTGTTGTACAATCTGCCCAAATCTCTAGGCTATGCTCAACAACTGACGAGTCTAAATATCGACGGATTAAATCTGTCGTACCCACCTCAGGATATTTTAGATGGCGGTACGATAGTGATTATCGCATTTTTGGCGAATGAGAGCGGCGTCGATTACTCGCCAGAGAATTCGGTATCAGAGATTGATATTTCAACAGATATGAGCTCGGATGACATGCAGACGGTATACCATAATAAGAGTAACGACGTGCAGGTATTATAATGTAGTGCATGAACATAATATTCATGAATTTTTGTTGTATAAAATTTTTTAGCTACATTATTATATCGTTAAATATATGTCGTGTCAAGTTGATCAAAAATCGCGAAAGATTATTTAAATATTTATTATTTTAAAAAAGCATATACATGTATCTTCAGGAGCGTGTAGAGAATCAATAAACTAAGAAAAAAAGTCCTTTTAAAGACATGCTTCGTTTTGGAGAAAATTGCAAAAAAAGACAAACGTAGTTTTTATTTTTGTACTTATTTATTACTTATGCATTCACATTATTTATTTATTCACGTTGTAACTTGCTTAATGTAGATACAGATATAAAACAGGAGTAATTCCCTTGATAGTTTCTGATAAGTAAATGATAAATTGATAAGAGAAAGGCAGAAATAAATAATATAAACAAAATTTTCACTAGAAAACAGAATATTATTATTGTCATGTATGATTTTAGTGACGGTAATACTTAAAAGGTAGTGCGAAAAGCAACTATGCATGTCTTTTTTTGCGATTTTCTCCAAAACGAAGCAGAAACCAGCATAACTTTAGGACTTTTTTTCTCGGTTTATCAATCCCCTACTTTCGAAGTTTCAACATATAAATTCGGAATATAAGGTGGAGCAGTAACTTTATCCACCTACAATATTTCTGCTATTTTTGAAAATATGAAATAATTTATTTGCTAATGTTTCATAGCATCAAGGGCACAATACATTACTAATAATTTTTTTATGGATAGAGGCGCTTTCGAGATTTCAAGGTTATCTCTATTTTTTTTTAATAGAATTATATGATTTTTTAAATGTAATATAATTTCTCTAGTTATTCTATGTATTAGCGTTTTCCTTTGACTGCACTAGTGCAACACTCAGATAGTGTAGCGTTTCCATGGCTGGTGGTAGGCAAACATTTGGTGTATCATGTTTCCATGACTACGTAGTGCAAGTTTCATACACGAAGTGGGATTTTCCTATACCGTCCCAAAGGGACGGTGCAAGGCTACATCCAGTGCATCCCAAGGGAAAACGCTCACTCTCTATCTCTCTCTCTCTTTCTCTCGGTCGGTCGGCGGGTCGGCCGCGCCGTCGTCGAGCCTCCGGCGCTCGACTTCCGGAGGCTGCCCTGAGCTAAATTTTCATCGAATCGAAACAAATGAGGGCTCTTTTTGTAGGTTTTTTCAAGCCCTACAAAAGTGTCAGTAACGGCATTTTGCTATCTATTAACCGGAACGAGTTAAATGCAACAAAAGGCGAAAAATAATTTTTCTTCGCCTTTTTTTCAAGTTAACTCGAAAAATATTGATTTTAGGTCAGGGTCTTCACGAGGTGAATCGTAGGGCTTGAAAATACCTACAAAAAGAGAGGTTGTACGTTCAATTACGACCAAAATTGACCGAGTTACAGCGAAAAAACGCAAAATTACCTTCCTCCACCCCTCCCTAATTTAGCTTAAGGTCTATGTGTACGACAACTCAGAAATAAGCTCTCCTTGACACCCCCAACAAGCCTACAAAAAAATCTCGCGT